AAAAAGCAAAAACAGTATTTGCAAGCTCTAATTTTTGTATTCAATGCTGCTATGCGGAAAAAGTCTTCTTAACAATCAGAAACAGCATGCAGTGTGCACAGCCATGTGCCGGTGTGCGTGTTAACAGTGTGCATTCATGCCCACATTTCCTCCATTTGTCTCTGCCTCTTAATTATTTGTGCCCTTTTAAATTTCAGTGATATCGATGAAATCGACCACTTTGTGAAGGCCAACCGCTGCGTGAGATATTCAGCAGTTGTATCTACATCAAATGCACTGAGAGCAAAAAAACACGTTCGGTCTAATCCCATTGTGCCGTAATTGACTTTGACGACAGACGATGAGATGATAGAGGCTGGTATAATGATAGCAAAGTTAATCTCAGCACCTCAGCTCTCCTCCGCAATTTCGAATGATTGAAACTAGACTTCATTGTAAACTTCTTCCCCTCAGCTGAACTCTTTCCCTCAATTATACTTACACAGCCTTTTTATTTCATATCCTGTTTTCCTGTTTTTCTTTCCTGCTGTCTCGCAGCCTAAACCTGAAAGTCATGAAAAAGATGATTTATCTCCTTTTGTTCGTGTTTTCATTTCCAAGTTTGTTTTTTCTTTTGTTGTTGGGATTAAATGAGGACAACACAGAGACAGCCTTTCAAGCTGTTTGAAATTTGAAGGAGCAGTGTCTTGTACACAGCTCATCCAGAGTACTAGGACTGAGGGGCAGGGACAGCATGGAGTACTATGTCCAGTAAAGCCACACATGACAATGTTTTAGATGGAAATTCACCACAGGGATCATTGTAGACAAAAATATGATTCTGTAATGTTTGAACTTCACTTCTGTAGGAGGTTTTTTTCCCTAAAGATTTATTTTGGTCCTGTATTATTTTTATGATAAGATAACAGCACAGGCAGGAACGAAGGGACCGAAAGCAGGAAATGGCCTTGGACAGAATTGAACCCAGGCTCAAAGGCAACCTAAAGTAGCCTTTTAGCATACGGGTCACCCAATTAAGCCACAGACAAATGAATGCCCAGATGCAGGGGTTGCTGAGGGAATAAAAGAACAACAAAAAAAGAGTTTGTCTTATCTTACTTAACAGACGTCATTTTCCTCTCAGTTCTTGCCAAAATGTAAATATTTTTAATCATAGTGTAAGTGATTTTCCTCTTTTTTGGAAGTGGGAGGAAAAGACTATAATGCCCGTTTTACATTTACTCCAAAAGCGGCCCCAAAACTTCTTGATACCATGTCAAAGAAGTCTTGAAAAATGTGTGAATTCTTGAAAAATGTATACCAAGAAAGTCAAAATGTAAAGTTTGCAGCAGTTTACATAACACAGATCTAAAACATGTTCTATCAATTAAAAAGATCTAGGCTAACAAGTCTGTGTTAGGAATTGTTAGCCACAAACATGTTTCAGCTAATAGGTGTTCCAGTGTCTGTAGCTAAATGACCTGAATGTAAAGCGCGCTACAGAATCTACACAGAGATTCAAGCATAGATAGGCTCAGAGATGATAAGAGGAATAAACCTCCCTACATGTAGACATTTATGTCAAAGTGGAGGGCATGTATTGGAAGAATGCAGGAAGCCAGACAGTGATCAGGCAAATTTTCCTGTGTCGGGTTGTTTAAACAAGCTCTCTGAAGCTAACTGGCTGTTCAATTTGACTGCAGTGCTTACAGACAGTCATAATGTAAATTGTAGTTCTGAAGGCATACAGCTGTGGCCTCACCCTTCCCTACCCTTACTTATCTGTCCTAAATTTAGCAAACACAACTCAGACCTGTGTTGTTGACTGGTACGAGGCTATGCTTTGTCCACACACACTTTTCTGACCCACTCCAGCAAACCAATCCAATCTTAAATGCATCCATCCATCATCATATGCAACACCATATTGTATGAGTCACTTCCACACACTGATAACCTGCTGCAACCTTTCTGAATATCTTTCTCTACCTAAATTCCAAAAATTACCACTTACATCACCAGCTGCTTTTAGGTGACAGTCCGTTCATCTTATCCTGGGAATACACCAGGTGCTGGTCTGTGATAATCCATCTGCAGTGCAGTTTTGCTCAATTCTGGCTACAAATCGCAATGTTAGTGTTTCAGAACTGAGGTATTAAGTGGGAAAGGGGTGTTTTAGTTAGGAAATTCACTAGTTGCTCTTTGTGTCTGACTTCCTGATTAACTGCGTCCTTAACTGTTCCATCTAGTTGACCTGCTTAGAAAGCCACTACTGCCATGCTTCTATAATTTGCCGTGGCACATCAGTTGGATTTTGAAATAACTCTCCGTTACCTTTTAGTGTTGTGGGGTTTTTTGTTTTTTTGTTGCATATTTTATTTTTTTATACATATTTTTTACATTTGTATTAAAAGCTCAGTTGTCTTGCCTGTTAGTGTCTACATTTAGTTTCCTAAATTGTACAGATTTATGCTTTTTAACTTATTTATGCTTATCTTTTTTTCTTAAAATCAGGACCGAAAATGTTTTGTCACTGCTTTTCAACCAGATTGAGTACATTTTAGATACAATTAGTGGTATTATGAAAGACTAAGTCCCGTTTGGACAAGTGAGGGGTGACTAAGAGAAAAAAAAGTGAAGGGCACTACATGCTCATATTGTAACAGTTTGTCAGTTATAAGGTAGATGTTTGATGTTTGTCAGATCTGGGAAATGTTTCCATATTTATGCACGGTCTATAGGCACCACTGGAGGGTAACCTAATTATTTACATTAAAATACTATTAAATATGTAATTGTACTCACTTTACCGTAGTTGTACTCACCGATGCATGTACCCTGGCTGGCCAGATGAAGGCAGAGGTGAGCAGAGAGGAGAGACTGACTAACAAACATAAAGACTTTTCCATGTTTCCGGCCATGATGAGGAACACTGTAGAGGCTAGCCAGTCATGACCTGGATAACCTTCCTGGTGAGTTACTGGTTTCAAAGTTAAAGATCCAAAAATGGCTAGTAAAAAATATACACAGATTTCAAAGTCTTAGACACGTTCAGCAAACATTGTGGTAACATGAGTATTTTTGACAAACACAAATTATTTTTTAATCAGAAATAAACAGAAATGCAAATAACTAACTAGATGTGCATTGTATTAACCACTTGTAAAGCTTAAATTAAGAGATTTTGTTTGTGTTTTAAAGGATCCATAAATATTGTCTCTGTTGTCAGAAGACACGAGCGCTCATAATGGGTTGAATAAAGTGCAAAGCTAATACCAGTTTGATGTCAGCTGACACTGGTGCCAGTGAGTGTTATCTACAGAGTGAGTAACAGTCAATTAACCACGATACACCATCAGCTTTGTCACAGCTGAAAAAACAGACTGTAAAGACCCAGTTCTGTCTAGTGTCAGATTCTGAAGGTATTACATGAAAAAATCTTAACCCACAGCCACTGGCAAACTGATACAAACATATAATTCTTGTGATTTTTGTCTTAATAAGCAGGAGTAGCTGCTTTACATTGTGAACGCAACATTGCACGGACACTAAGCAGCATACTTTAAAAAAAGAAAAACAGCAAACAGGATTTGCAATCAGGCTCCAAGGTTAAAGCTTCCTTTCATCAAGTACGTCTCGAGTGGTTTATTCAGGCTCTGCAGCATTACTCATTAAATTCAGTTCATTTAGACGTTTGATAATTTCATTCAAACCCTGCTGGCAGCAAATAACTGCGCTGATATGCGAGTCTGTCCTGTTCCAGGAGAACTGTGGGCCGATTAATCGGGAGTGAGAACACAAACTGGCTCGTCTCCAGAAAACAACCCCAGGCCTATCAACACTTGCTGCTTTTTATGTCTTTCTGCTGAGTTGCTCCCTTTGAACACTGTCACCGTTTAAATTTTCTTTAGGTTAAAATGTACACAGAGAGATTTATTTACATCTTCCCACCGAAAGATTCTCTACATTTCTGCCACAAAGATATCACAGGAGAAAGTTTTAATGAGAAAAAAGACTAAATTAGCAAATTTCTTCATCTATTACATTGAAATCTATTACTTTTATTTCATTTCCTGTGAACTCTACGGAAAAAAGCATGTACCTTCCCAGCATGTTAATTTTAAACTAATTAATCTTGTAAAATGATGTTAATTCTTCACACCAATGCCAGAAAAAAGACAACAGCAGCCTTGATCTGCTTTAAGAATCTACATTCTCATTTCTTAGTAATAGTTTTAAAGGGTACCTTTGATCGTTTTCCTTATTTTTTGTCAGATATACACTGTTACTGTGGTGAACGGTCACTTTGAACACAGCCAAAGCTTCAAATAATGAGGTCAGTGTACAAATATTCCCACTGAGCCAAAAGCTCAATGGCTCTAAATGCTCCATTTCAGACAGTGTTTTTTTCTGTTCTTGGCTCTGTATCGTGGCAAAACTGGGGATTTTGCCATAATGCCTGGTCATCTCAGGCGCTCGGCTTGGTCTATGACCGTAGAAGCCCCTCCCTCCTGCTGTTCAATGCTGTTTGCAAAGGGGAGCCAATCAGAAGACAGGTGGCTTCACTGCTGAGGAGCTAAAATGTTTTTTTGTGACAGATCATAACCTGAATGACTCCAACAGCTTTCTAATTGCTTTTTTTTTAATGTATCATGCAAAACTACTCTAACAGGGTCCAAGAATAAAAACGTGAAGCTCAAAATAACCATAAAGCACCTCTTTAAATAACTACATTTATATTTAATGCTTAACCTTTGAACCAACACAGATAAGAAGTCATAAAGCTGTTAAAAAAACAAACAAAAAAACAAAAACAGTAATGCATTATTCTGAGCAAACTCTGTTCAGTGAGCAGACAGGGACAAACAACCGAAACCCAAAGTGTCTGTTATGTAAGAACCCAAAGGTCTTACTTTTTAGACCAATTTCAAAATTGTTAATACAGAAACATATTCGTGTTTTGCCATGTTTTGACTGGATCCTGTAACAGACTGAGGAAATTGCCTTAGATTTGCATCTGAATGACAAGCATTTGAGATCTTTATATCATTGTTAAGAAAAGGCAAAGACGGGACTCCTTTGTGGAAACCCAGTTAAAAGAACTGGAGGATGGCTGTCTGCATTAAAGCTCAATAATGAGGACCAAATCCACAGAAACACAGAAACTTGACACTAACTGTGCATGCTGATAGTTCCATCGGCTTTGATTATCAGTTAAAGATGTCAGCGAGTGCATGATGGGAAGAAACATCTTTTTTCAGCTTAGATGTGTGGAGTGGTTTGGCATTTATTTGTAGCCTGTTTTAAAGTCAGCAAGGCATGTTATTGGTGACAGTGAAAGTGTGAGGATTTGAAATGTGGTCAAACGGGTACAATCTGTCCCAATTTTGCCTTATCCTGTTAATGGAAATGTCTGGACAACCTTGGTTTGAACTTCATTATTTAAAGAATATTTGGAGGTCACACAATCACCACTGTATTATTACACCTTGAGCCGCCTTAATTCTTTGTAGCACAGAATTAACAAACATTTCTCAGATTTTTGGGCCATACTGACATAAGAGCATGGCACAGTTGCTGCAGATCTGCCCGGTACCAAACGACTCACAGACCGGTACCGGTCCGAGGCCCCGGGGGTTGGGGACCGCTGTTCTATGGGATTGAGGTCTGGTGACTGTGGAGGCTATTTGACAACAGCCAACTCATAGAATAGTCACATAGAAGAAACCAGTTTCCAATGATCTAAGCTTACTGACATTAGTGCCATTATCAATCTGAAAACACTCATCAGAAGATGAGCACACTGTGCTCATATAGGGACGGACAGCAGAAATACTGTTGCATTTAAACACATCAATACGCCACACCAGCAGGCTGAACCACTGATACAAGGCTTTCATGTTGTTTATGCCTAAAGCAGTCTGGCCATTCTCCTCTAACCTGTGGCATTATTAAGACAATTTTTCTTTTTTTTTTTTGCTTTTTTGGACCATTCTCTGTAGACTCGGGAGATGGTTATGTAGCAAAGTCCCAGTAGATCAGCAGTTTCTGAAAATACTCAGTCCAGCCCATCTGGCATCAGCAACCACATTCAAAGGCACTTACAGTAAAGCCCCCTTTTCCCCCCATTCTGATGCTCACTTTGAACTTATGCAGATCCTCCTGATCATCTCTGCTCGGCACTGAATTGCTTAAACAAAAGAACTATATATTGTCTCTGTTTTATATTCATAAATTTATGACAGCGGTTGAAAGCTTAAACTACAGTGTGAATACTTAAATACAATTATAATGCAACAGTGTGAGCTGGTTAGCTTAACCACTGGCTCAACCCTCAATGACAAATGCATGCTCTTTGATAGTGATTGACAGACAGACCTCATGCATTTGTAATGGATTCTGTAAAGATATCATTTTTAAACGGACAGCTATAAATAAATCAGTTACCCCAAAGACAGGAATAACATTTTCATCTGCGATTACCTAATCACCATCAACGAAACCGAAAATCCTCGAAATAAAATACTAACTCAATCAACATCTATACCTTAGATTTAAAATTATTTCTGTTTACCTGAAAAAGTACTTCAGTTCTTTGGGTAAACTTTAGACCAAAGTTTTTGCAAATTTTTAAGTATATTAACTTTTTAATTCTTTTAGCTTAAATAGGTACACTGTGTTTTGTCAGAAACATTAGCATAAATCCGTTTACAGCTGCCATCTGAACACAAAGATAACCAAAACGAGCTTCTTGCTGTCAACTCAAATGTCAGTCTGGTCTAGTACTGTAGCTTCTTTACAAACAAAATGTCAGCATTTTATATTTGTGAGGGCTCTTTATCTTCTCTCTGTGTTTTCATGTTTCAATTGTCTGCTTACAAAGGAAGCTATCTGGAGGAAAAAGGACGCCTGTCAGTTGATATTTGGGACAAAAGAAGGTTGAACTACTCACTGAGGAGCAGATGGAGCAAGATAATCTATATTGTGTTGATCAGAGCGTGAGACATGACACTCTCGGTTTCTTTTTCTTTCTTTTAAAAAGGGCGACTTGTGGCGTTCTCACACTAGACACTAGATAGCTGCTACTACAGTCACACACATATACTGTTGCCTCAGTAGCCAGAGTGCCACAAAGAAAAAGTTTGTGAAATCTTTAGAGTTGGCAAAACTTCTGTTTTGCTTATTTAAAATAATAGTGCATTATATACATACAGTGAACCTCTGCAGTAATTACTCTGCAGTAATTACTCTGCAGTAATCTGAATGCGTGGGTTGCAATGGTGCTCATCCATATAAATAAAGGCATACAAAGTCAGCTTAGAAAAAGGTTATGCTCAAGAAATACTGATGGGTATGAATTATGCCCAACGACAAACTGTTTACAGATGGAGGAAATTCAGGACGACTGCTCTCCTGAACAGTAGATGTCCTACAAAGACCATCGCTGTGAAACCTATAAAACTTGCTACAATCTTTGTTCATATGTTCATTATAAGAAAAACCCTGAATAAGACGGGGGAAACTGCTGCTCTCTACAAAAATATTCATATACAGTGTAGAACGCTATGTCTGAAGAAGAAACATTGAAACCTAATTTCAGCATGATGTCAGGAACATCATGGAGGGGCAAGGCCATCATTTCACCAACCAAAGGTAAGCAGAGGTTCGGTGATACACTGACACAAAACAGACACAAATAACTAAAAAAAACATTCTTATTTTCCAAATTCGAGTTTTGAACTGACCAAATGCAAAAATAAAATGTTATGACAGAAGAACATTTGTCAGATGGGTGACTAACATTTACAGCCACAGTGTGTCCATTTACTGTGAATTCTTATTGTATGGACTCTGTAAAGGATACTGAGTTCTGATGAAGTTTTAACTCTCTGCGTGGACAAGAAGATCTTCACATGCTTCATTAGCAGAGCTAGGTCATTTGCAGCTTCTTCTTTCAGCAGCCCAAGGTAAATCCCATACCTGTGAATATAAATGAAATGTATGAAACACACACATCTTCAAGTGCAAACCCTTTATAGATGTGAGATAGTGAGAAGGGATATCCTTAATATAGTTTACTGAGGTACAGCCGCCACATGTGTGCTGTTCAAACCTTCTGTTTGTAAGAAGCAACCAATTGGAAGAAAACTGGTTTAATGAATGCAGAGTTAAATTTTAACAAGAATTATCTGGAACTGTGAAACATGCAAAGCTATGCTGCTAGATTTCAAGAATAAAATCCTGTTGGAATAATAGCCCTGCTTTTACTACTTTACTTCTTTATTACTTTTCATCTGTTTCATATCTCTTCTTTTATTTCCCCATCATTTTAAATTACTGAAATGAAAACCTATAAAATGTACTGTGAAAATATTAATTTAAAAAAAAAAAGATCATTTCTCAGCATGACCATTTTTCTTTCAGTTCCCCGAATCACTCATGAAAGTCACATTGCCCAATGGGATACTTTATATCAAACTAAGAAATAAAGCAACATTGAAGTCTAAAGCAAATACCCCAGAGGAGTCCTCAAAACTTTATTCAAGAAGCCCAGTGTCGCAAGTAAAAGATTAATTATAATTTCATGTTCAACAACTTTTAATCCTATAACACCCACCACTCTGCGGGTAATGTTTGCACTCTGTGTTGATACCGGAATAAAAAATGTGGCACTCTGTTCTCCTGGACAGGCACAGAAACTTTTCAGCTGCAGAGCCCCCTTCGGAGTAGGTGCTCAGAAAGAGTTATATTCACTGTGTAATGTAGCAGCGGGGTGTCGTTAAAGGCAGAAACAAGCAGTGTGAGAACAGTAACACAAGTCAGACGGTCTATTGTGGGAAAAATAAAGAACAGAACAAGTAGTTGCACAAGTACAGGGCAGCAATATCATGAAATTCCTGTCTATTCTGCAACATGTTTGTTTCAACAAAGTGCATTTTTAAACTCACCTATCTCTGTTGTTAAGATAAGGTTATTTTTACTTAAAGCTTCTCAGTAAAATTAGGGCCCACCTCCATCCACATGACTTTGAGAGAGTAATTTGAAACTTTGTTACCTCTTAATTAGACTTTTGAAATTCTTTGGAGGTTGGCCCTAATCAGTCATCACAGCAGCTCGCTTTTTGACAGGTGCGCTCACATTCCACCTGTATTGGCTTCCAGTCCATTTCAGGATCAGCTTTTCACAACCATTTTGTGCCTTTCTACTTAGCTGAAGTCTTATAGCAGTGCACTTGTGCCAAAGCCCTGAAGTCTACAGACCAACTGATCTTGGATGTTCTTTGATCCAGGCTCTAAAACAGAGGCCACACTGCCTTTTCAATGTTAGCCTCTATATTTAGGGGCAACCTGCCCAGTCACTCAGTCATTATAAAACACAATTATAAACCTATTTAATTTCTCCAGCTTTCAGTTGAGCATGATTTCCTAGTTTTTATTGTGCAAGCACGGTTGTGTTTTCATTTATTCTTGTTTAATTTGAGGATGTTTTATGTTTTTGTTCTGTATTTTAGTGCAAATTTATTGTTGATTTAGTGAGTGTTAATTATAGTATAGCATGTACTGCACTTCGGTCAGCTAAGGGTGTATTAATGTGCTGTAAAAAATAAAAACTGACTCAACTTATATATCTCACATCAGTCAGCTCTGACAATTTTCCTAATGTCGGCTAACAAAAGTGTCTCCAGCTGCTGAACTGAGAAACAAAAAATACTTTCAGTCTTCTCCCTTTTTGACTTTTGTGCACATTTGCAGCTTGAATTCATGTTGAGAGTGGACGCTGAGGTGAATTCTAATGTTACGGCTTTGAGTTCACAAGCTTGTTGAAAAATGAAAGTGAGCTTTTACATTTTTTAGATGGCTTAAATATGCTATAGGTTAAAGCAGCAAAAGCCACCTTTTTATCTTTCTCTTGGTTTTTCCAAGTGATATTACGTTTGGGACAGCAAGACCAGATTACTTTTCATTTTTTTTAGAGTAGGTGCTAAGAATAAGCAACACCTTTGTGTACAGAGAGATAAGAAAGCGACACATACAATGAAAAGGTAGAGTGAAACAGTTGTTGTGTTTTAAACAGAGAAACCAGACCTTCAGTGATATACTAGCTCATCCAGCTCCTAATCCATCACAATTCACAGGGTATTAACAAAGCGATAAATGTTACCTTGACCTTGAGCACAGTTTGGGTGAAGATCTGACTATTACTCTAGTAGGAGTAACAACTATTGTGAATTATCGACATAAGCTCATCAGTCCTTTGACCAGATGAGCTATAAACTTGCATATTGCTTATTCACAAACAAGTAGCTACAGAGGTTTGAGTTGGGGTAAGCAAAAGAAAACATGTATGAGTGTATTCATTTGGTCTATAATGGAGATATAAAAGCAGACAAATTCCTTAGCAAGTATAGAGCAAAGGATTGGTTTGATGTTTTGAAAAATGAAAGATGGAAACAGTTCATACTTAATTTGAAAGTAACAGAAAATATACTCTCACTCTTCTAAGACTTTATTTTCCTTTGACTTTGCAGTGGCAAACAGAACTGCATAGTGATGGAGTCCCATAGCAAAGAAAACTAAAGGCAGATAAAGCCATTACTTTCACTGCCAAGCGGCTTATATGTAGATTGGTTCTGTTTGCCTGTTTGTTTGTCAGCAGGATTACTCAAAAAGTAATTGAAGGTTTGGCATGAAATTTTTTACCAGTTTGGCTCATGTTAGGAGTGATTAACTTTTGGAGTCAATTCTGATGTGGATCTGAAAATCTTTAGAAGGCGTTTGTAGAGCAAGAAAGGAAAAACATGGATATTTTGCATCGTATCTCTATACCCATATTAAACTGAAAAAAGAAAAAAAAAGTGAGACATCGTTTTCTTGAAAAAAATATCACAAATCAATTGGAGACTCAATTTAAGCACTGTCAGTAGAAAATGTTTAGACTTGAGGGAGTGGGATCGCTCTTTTTTAACCTCCTATGAACCGAACTCTTTCATGGCATGAATTTTTAATTTCTCTTTGCTATTTGGGCTGATTGGGACCTGCTGAATGTAAAAACAAAGAATTATCTTTTTACCTGATTTTGCTCTACAATGGCTGGAAATCCACATCTGAGGACATTTGTTTTACATTTCGATAGAACAATAGCAGTATAATGTCCTCGTAACAGATATCAGGCCCTTATAGAGTTTAGTATTGTGCACAACCCAAAATGTGATGCCCACATTTGTTGATGCCAGGTCATAGGAGGTTCAGGGTGGTAAGATTATGCAATTAACTTTCCGACGGCCACTTTAATGACTGAGCCTTGCTATTCTGTTAAAACCAAACCAACTTACATCTTCAACATCAGCTCTACTTTCTCTTTAGTGCTATTTCTCCAACGTCCGCATGCTTACATGCTTAACTGAGATGCTGAACACAGTAAACTTTATGCCTGCTGAACATCAGCATGCTATTATCATTGTAAGTCAAAGATGTCAGTGTTGAGCAGAAAAACACACCACTGCGTTAAAAGTGGTGATGCTTGTTTTCATGTGGAGCCCAGTGATGAAGACGCGGTTATTGAAACAATTGATTAGGACCATGTCAACATTCATCAGCGCCTAATTGAAGCAAAAGTAACTGCAAAAAGATTCAAACTGAGTGAGACACAGCTTCTAGTCTTTAACTATGCTTTCCCCATCCAATATGAAATGTAACTTTCTCCTCACATTCATTGTGAATGCAGACACTACAAAATCAAAATTAAGGTACATGCACGTTAGTCCCATCGCAGTGATTTAGACTCTTTTTAAGAGATACTTTAGGGTAGTTACTTCCATGGAGCTCACAGTTGAGTAATTCTAAGACTTTACTGAAATAGTTTATACGCAGCAGGCTCTCCTTCTGCTGTAAGAAGCCTAATTAAATAAGGGTTTATGAGCTAAAGAAAATCCCTTTACATACTTCAGACAGGTGTTGATTCCCAGCTGTTCCACAGATGATAATACGGCATTCTTCACAGTCTTCTCCTCTGCTATAAAACAGGATGAAAAAAAAGATGTGGTTGTTACGAAGCAATGCATTTCAATGAGAGGGTATATAAAAGAAGGTTTGGGTGGAAAACTACCTATACATTCCTAACAGCTTATATTATTCCAATGGGAAATGGAAAAACATGACAGCATATCATGAATTGCTACTTTTTAAGACACCAGAGATGTAATGTTGTGTCTGGGTAACTTTGTAGCTGGCAGTTTTACAACAGTCGTTTGGCTTTAATTGTGATGTTTGCGAGCTATTGTGACATCAAGGTGACTTGGGTAATATCAGTAAAAGTCAGCCATGGGTAATTTAACAGCAGCATTTTGACAGTGTAGAGCAGCAGAGCAATAACTCAGGAGTTTAGGGCTGTGGCAGGGTTTTTGAAAAAAAGAAGTGAAAACTGAAGTGAGAATGCTCTTTATCTCAAGACCTTTTCTTTCTCTGTGAGTCACATGGTGAGGCTACAGCAACTGAAAATACGGGCCAGTTTTAGAGTCGTGAAAACAAAAACAGCTCACATGCAATCAGCTCTCATGGGCTCTTACTTAGTGCCAGTATTTGTTCCAAAATCATTAAAAATATATTCGTCTTTGGAGTTGCAGTTGTCACTGCGCAGATAGAACGATAAATGAAGTAATAACAGTGGGAGGACTAACATTTTGTTTTGGAAGATGTTTCCACTGCTTCCTGGCTTTGGGGGATACCGATATTATTACATCTGTGCAAATGGATCCCCAGCTTCAGACAGTTTATGGGAGGATGATGAGAACATTTGAACAATTAATATGATGAGTATTATCCAGACACCATCAGTGGCAGGAAAAACTTCCAATTCAATTTACAGGCTAATGGTGCAGAAAAATGCACGGGAAATGATGATAACAGTAGCTGTAATCTACATATCAGAGTTATAATTCAACATTGTTGCCATCCAAATATCAAAGCTGACCAATGTGGATAAATCACAGGCCATCAAATCTTGGATTAATTGAGAAAAAATGGCTTTTGAAGAGGGCATGAATCTAGGCCGGGATAGCTGGTTCTGTCATTTCTCTCACTCTTCTCTCCCTATATATTAAAATCTGTGAAAACCTCTAGCTGATGGCAATTACTGTCTAATGGAGATGAATCCTCTTCTTGTTGTATTTATTCCCTCCCTGCCCATTTCTCTCTCCTCAGCATTAAGCCACCAGAGTGTATTTTGCAGTTTTTAATAACTATAATCACAATCATTTAACAAGATACACTATGAAAGGTGGCACATCTGATTTATCTCTGAGATTAGTTATGACAATTTGTACTTCGTTTAGGTGTAGTTGTGAAGCTTATGAAGAGTAATATCATGAATCTGGAGCTCTGAGTTGATTTAGTTCCCAGACTCTGTGCAATCCCCTGTGCTTCAGAGAAATTAAAACAAAAGTAATATTAAAAATAAAGAAGCCTGAAAGTGTCAGGACTTAACGGAGTGAGAGGTAGTTATGAAACCCATTTAGAGATATGAGCATACATCATTTACAACAATATATCCAAGAACGTCTTCAGCTGTAAAAATAAAGGCAGGACCGAATTAAAAAGCTCAATTTAAAAAAAGCAAGAAAATTTTGATTAACCGTGAACTAAAAAATAATAAAAATAGAAAATAAAAAATGAATCACTGAACTCACGCTAACATGCTCAGAAATTTCCAAATATCTAAGTTTTCTGCTTTTCTAACTTTTCTAGACATCATTAGACAGAGAATGCAAAAGTCAGACACAACGGTATCAAACGTTTAACCTGACATGTCCGCGAGATTTCGGATTGCACCAGTGTGAGAACAACACAGCTAACGGTGTACATTCAGCAATAGCAAGCGCGCTGCTTCCTGCCCCCTCCATCCAGGCAGTGGGCTCACCTAAACCAGTATTTGCACTTGTGTGAACCTGTCTGAAGCAGGCTATTTGCCATGATGGATGTGAGGACAGAGAAATGGAAAATTTTACAACCTGATTTTTCTGAAACTCTAAGTTCACACGTGAAAAAGACTTGAAGAACCTCATGTTTCAAAAGCACCTCCTATATTTTAGTGCTAGAAACTAAGTACAGGGAGCCTACATCTCCTATGACTAACTGTCTGACAACCACTCAAACACTCATCAAGTTTGGGGATGGCAGCAGCACATTGGTTGTGACAGCCAGCAAATGTCAGACCGCCTACAAAGAGCACCTTTAAGCACCTTATAACTCTAATATGAACCTTACACCCAACAAGTGCTGCAGCAGGTCATTCAAACCCTGCTGCACTTGCTGGGATGTTTCTGCCGTGACATCTACCTAAAACACTGCCAGAAGAGGGAAATGCATCACGTGATTAATAACAATAATAAAAACAATTTCTTCTAACTAACCTCCATTTACAGTAACTTGCAGCATCTCAGAATGGGGGAAAGGGAATGCAATTTTGATGTTTTTCATGCAATACTTAAAAGCAGAGACTTAAAAAAGTTTGAGGATGTGGATTAAAAAATCCTTTTAAATGATTATTTTATCTGAGCAAGCATAGATCTCTGGAACATAAAAAGATGCTCCTCGTGGGATGCAGTAACCCAATTTCAACAGGAAGCTGAGATAAATGAGATTGCTGGACAGCTGCCTTCAGGAGTCAGGGCCATGGCAGGTGATGAGATACAACTCTGAACGGTGAACTGAAAGCAGTTAACACTTGGCAAATGAGCCTGCTCTCTCAATACAATGGGAGCGTCAAGCTGGGCAGAGTGGCTTTGACTAGTCAATGCTAAACACCACTAGGCATTTTTCCATGTCACATGCAGACAATTACACACAAATGTAACCGGCAGATTGCAGAATTCAACAAGAGTCCTGACTGCTATCTGGTCTCCTTTATGGGCTGTTGTAACTGAAGCAGAAGCTGTATTTAGTCAATGTTTATACAGAACCAAGCCTTACAATGCAGAACCCATCTTAAAATATCTTCAGGCTCTTATCTGTCCAATTAATTTGAAGCATTACATAAATTAACTGAAATTTAATTTGTCATAGGTACACAAAAACTGTATCTACAGTATCACCAGTGAGAAAATATTTGCCCAAAAATACAGATTTAAGATTATTTTTACCCTGGAAGCTGTTGCCGTTACTGAATTCACCCATAGTATGTATTTTTATATAAAAATCCTGAACAGAAATCTATGCCTCTCTCTTATAATGTAACTCTGACAGATGTGAATTCCAGTACATCATATACGGTCAAAGTGTGTCAAAAACATCACAAAGTTCAAGCCTGCAATCTCTCCAAAAGAAAAGGACTTAAAAATATTAGCATCAACAATCTGACATGTAAAATGTGGGTGGACTATTTTCCACAACAGCTCTGTGTTAAAGAAATTATGCAAATAAGATTGTGACTGATCCTAAAAATGAAGCATTACAAAAATGTGAGGCAATATGAAAGAAAGAAAGCGGAAGTGCAAACAACTCTGATGTGTGTTTGTGAATTTAGATAAATAAATCATCAAAACAAAAACCCAGAATTAAGGTTCTTCATCAGTCCCCAGAGAAGTGAGGCCTTTTTGCTGACAGACACAGCACTACAGACAGATGCTGCCTTTTATTAGCTGTCTCCCTGCCACAAATGACTGTCTACTAATTCATAGATCCAAGTGAATGCTTTTACTCTCATGAATTATCTTGACAGCTTTTCTTTAGAAGCTCAGACATATTCGGGATGATGTTACTTATAAAGTCTGTCAAATTTGAACACGGTTTCAAAACTTTTTATTGCATGACACACCACGCGCATGAAGAATGTTCATTCTTATGGCAATTACAGTTAAATTCCAAACTGTACAAGTCAAACCGTCCAAATCTATACTGTAGGTTTAACCACACTCTAAATTATTTTAATTAGGTACATACACCCTTCCTGCTTCAACAGGAATTTAGAGAGTAAGCGGCAGCCAGGTGCTGCTGATTAAATGTAATTGATTCACTGATCATCAGCAAGTGTGAGCACCTCTGTAAAAGCAAAGTTTTAACAGGTTGCTGATCGTTCAGGTGATGCAATGCCAAAAGTGGATGTCCCAGAATTTTCACCCAAGGCCAAACTATGCTCTGAGAAAAAAAGCTCCGACTTGTTCTCTAAAAAGAACATGGCAGGACAGTTTAGAAAAAAAATGGCACGTGTTTGTTAACGTGCTTGGAAACATTCATACCCTGTGCAAAAAGCAAGTGCATGTATGACCTTAAGAGAACTGTGCATGAATGAATGCTTGCAAACCTCAATGAACAGAAGCAACATTGTAAAGAAGAATGAGTTAAAAATTCTCCATAACCATGTGAGAGACTGATGAAGTCATACAGAAAATAAGTATTTCAAAGATCATAAAAGCTACTAAATCATAGCGAATCATGGGTTTTACTTCATAGAGTATAGAGCAGTCATTCTCAAACTGTGGTACGCGTACCACTGGTGGTACGTGGGCTCCCTCTACTGGTACGCGGGAAAAATGTAAACGTTTAGCTCTGCTATCACTTGAAGACAGAAAACTAAACAGTAGTGACGTTTACAGGGTTACTGAAGTTGGACTAGCTCGTATATAATGATGTGCTATGCATTGGCTAGCTACACAGCTATAGTTAGCATAATATAAACACGCTGAAGCTGGAAGATGAACGCCAACTTTTTCCACTCAATGGTTAGAGACAAATGCATGCAGACGGTCCAAACTTCAGTCAGGAGAACAACTGAGATAATCCATCCACAATACGAGGTTAGTCATTAATTTACTGCTGCATGGGCTGGGCTGTAGCTACATCGTAAGGTTTTAAAAACTGAGCTTTAACAGTGGTAATAAAAACCGAGAGAGGCCGACAGTGATCACTGCCTTTTTTAGGAGCTTGTCTGTATTAAACAGAACAAGATACAAAGCATTAAAACATGTTAAAAACACAATAACCTTAATAAACAATTAGTTTGGGCCCGGAAACAGGGTT